TCTCTCTCTCTCTCTCTCTCTCTCTCTCTCTCTCTCTCTCTCTCTCTCTCTCTCTCTCTCTCTCTCTCTCTCTCTCTCTCTCTCTCTCGTTTCCCAACCAGATTTTTGAACCTCAAAAGAGAGACCGACAGAATTTCCTTCTTTCCCCGATCTCATTTATTCCTTCTCTTCCACGTCTGTGCGAGTCCGCGGAGATACAGAACGCCAATTTTCTCCTCCTCTTCGTCCACCGCAACCGATGTTGTTTCCTTCTCTTCCACCACCACCGCCATTGTTTCCTCCACGAAGCTACTATCAAGCTTCATCGAAAGTCTGCAGGTTCAGCTCCCAACCAATAGACTGGAGCCACCCAAGGGAGTACCACAGGGGGCTGCTCTTATCAACCCTTGCGATACGGCCCTGGGCTGTTTATTTAAAAAAAAAGTAAAAAAATTAAAAAAAAGAGAAGAAGAAGAAGATTCGTTGAAAGTCCAGGGGGAGTGTGTAGGTGAATCAGCCGTTAGAGAGACTGGTCTGGGCAGGGGAATGGCTCCCCAGGAAACACAGGACTGTAGCAGAGAACTTTATCTGGAAAGGGAAATTATGTGATGCTTACGGGAGAGAAAGGCATATGAAAGGCCCCTTTTTTTTTTCTTTTTTTTTTTAAGGCTTTTTTTAAAGCCCAAAAAAGGCCCATTGGCAGACATAAAGGTGGCAAAAGAAAGGACAGGGTAGGAAACAACACATGTGGAGGCCAATCTCATTGGCAGTCATAGTAGGAGGCTAGGAGCATACAGTGGTTCTCTCACCACCACCAGGATAGAGGTTTTGTTTGCGCGGAGATGTTTTGGGAAAAACAAAACAAAACACGAAAAAAAAAACACTGAAAGGGTGATCTATCATTTATTTATGTGATACTGATAGGAGGGAAAGGCATGAAGAAGCCCATCATGTTGGCAGTCATAAAGGTGGCAAAAGAAAGATGTGATCAGGAAACACAGTCAAAGGGCAATTGATTGATGTGACGTTTATGGGAGAGAAGGGCATGTGAATGCCAAGGAAAGGAGGGGGGAGGGGGAGGCGGAGGGGGAGGGAATCAGTGGGAATTCATAGAGGCCTCCAGCTCATTAGTGCTTATTTTGATACATGTCTTTCAGAGTTTTCAGGAAAAGGACTGTATAAAGGGGTGTGTGCAAGGGGCACCTGATGTCAGCTCAAGGGAGGAAAGGGTGTTGTAAAAGGGGTACGCACAGCTCAAGGGGGTTTAGATGCAAATTGATTGACATCAGATGCTTAGCAGAATTATATATCTATACCTAAGTCAGACATTCATTCCAAAATCAATAAGCATACCGAGGCATTCCTGACAAAAGAATTTCGCCAACTGCAGAGAGCACCCTTCTCCAGATAACAAACAGACCCCCCCC